TCGAACCCGGGCCGCACGCATGCCAGGCGAGCGCGCTACCGCTTGAGCCACATTCCCAGCCCATGTGGTGGGAATCTTGAAGCTGCCACAGAGCAGTGACAGGCATCCATAGGTGGGCTCATGAAGCTGGAGCCGGCTGTGGAAAGCTAAAACTGGGCAGAAGGACAAACACAGGCTTGCTTTGCCAGTGAAGATAGTTTCTGGGGGACACCTGGGATTCTACCCATAGCAGTCACCTGGGCTGACATGAGAAGCTTTTGAGAAAGGGAAAGATTTAGGAGGACTTTCTTATCTCAAATGGAGACTTAATTTTTCAAGGAATTGGATATGAAGGAAGCCAATAAATGCATGGGCCATTCTTATATGAGACTTAACCAGAGATTAAGTTCATGGTCAAGCCCATTGTGATGAGGTCTAAAATCAAAAGATTTTGCTGCACCTGTGAGATCATTCTCAGAAGCATGATTATTCACAAATACAAGAGGCCACCAGCATAGGCATAGGAGAGAGAATAAGTTGGACATATGACCTTAGGGACCACCTTAAAACCAGTCTAAGAACAACAAGATGAATATCTCTACAAAACCATAAGGGCCACCTTCCATATCTGGTTAGTTTCACTTTACCTTGAAACTTAAGTTCTTCATCTCCTAAAGATCCCCTTTCCAATAACCTCCCTCCACCAATACCCCATGTTGAAGTCTCGATAAAAACGAAGTCTCGATAAAGAGCCTTTTGTTCCTTGGATGTGGTCTAGGCCTTCAAACTGGATACAGAAGTAAAGGCTCTCTGAGAGTGTTGTACAGTCCAGCCAGCATTGCCCTGGAATCTTCCATACTTATTGGCTATTGGCTGAGGGATCCATGGTCACTGCTGTCCTTTCTCTCTCAGCCCTGGTCCTCTCCAGTCTCATCCAATAGCCTGCCTGGTGAGTGTTCCCATTTGTCTCTGTAAGATGAAGTCAAGAGCAGTTGCATCTTTTCTCAACAGGACTTGGTTTTATTTTTTTCTTCAATCCTCTTCTTCCTTCTCTATTCCCCACAGGACATTGTACAGACCTCTAGATGAGGCCTGGGAAATCTTCACTGCTCCAGCGAGCTGTGTTATGACACTGAGTCTCGCCATTAAGTCAATATTTAGAAGTGCAATTTAGAAATGGCAGTAGTTCAAGTCCTCCTGTCAGGTAGATAAAGCAGCAGACTGAAAAATTAATCAGTTGTGAAGAGTTCAGCCTGCCCCACCTCAAATCTTGAGACATTTAATATTGTCAACAGACCCTTCAGAGCCCCACCCAATGGTACCATTGAGCTACACAGGGAAAAATGTACCTTGGGAAATGATCCCAGGCCTTAAACTGCATAACTTGGACCCAAAGGATAAGATCTAAGTATGTGTTGTTCACTAACTTTATTCTTCAGTACAACGCTTCCAGTTTGATGTCGAAGGAAAAAAAGAAATTTTTTTTTGAGAGACAAAAGGAAGAGCTTCAAATATTCAGTTCTTAACTGGAGAGCAACTTAAAGCGAGAGAAGATGCCCTTGAGGAAGGAGGAGATATCAGGGAATTGGTGAATTAATTAATTGCTCTGGAAAGATTTTGAGCACCTTGGACCATCAGTGCTGGCAGTTTTAAAGTTTATTGTCTCACCTCTCACAAAGCACAAAAAGAGGGTGGGGATTAAAAACAGCTACCTTTTAAGAGTCTGTGGTTAAATTCTTTGATCTTCCAATTTTATATCTTTCATCATGCATTTTGGAATGTTAACTCCCTACAGACAAGTAGTTAGGAAGACTTGGATGCAACCACTCATATGCCCTGTCTTGTACAGGCATTGAGACCAGTAAGACACCCTCTATGGAGAGAAACACACATTGCCATCTGTCTTCCATCCATCATTTTCCAGAGGTGGGCTGGGTGAGAAGTCAATAGGTGGGTATCCAACTCATCTCCTATCAAGATCAGGTGGTTATAATCAAGGAGACTTTATCGAGACAAATAAGAGGCACATCTTAGCTATTGGTCAAGAATTATGGATCATCTACAGCTTTTTCCTCTTTCCAGCAATAGCGGATCCTTGCTATGCTTCTATCAGGCTGACCTTAGGTCCATATTCTCAAGCACAGGGAAACTTAGCCCAAAAGCCATCATATAAAGCTATGAGCCAGTATTATACATAAGTCTTTGCAAACTCTGTGCACATGACACCAAACCTTTGTACTGGATTTTTTGTAAGGCAGATATTTGACAAAAAAGAGATCTTAATAGCTATTATACTTCTCAATAGTATCACCAGTTTGATATTAGACTTTGAGACTTATGTAAGAACTAGAAGGAAACTCACTATATATTTGGTTGGTTCCAATACTTGTGAATTAAAAACTTCTTTAGGGAACTCTCAGGGCTGGGGATGTAGTTCAATGGTAGAGCACTTGCTAAACACATGTTAGATCTCCAGCACCTCAAAAAGAAAACCTACAGTTCTCCATTCCATAAAATACACCAACGTATGCAACATTTGATATTTTGTGCTCATGTAATGCAAGACACTATCATGATTAGGATTGACAAGTAATTTTTTACACAGTAGCACACATATACCTATGATATTTAATTAATTTTGTTTTTATATGATGTACAATGTGTTTTTTAAAAAAAAAACATCAAACTTTCAAACCTAAGCTGCTATAATTAATGTTGTCTGGCAAGGACAGGCTTGGGTCAAAATTCTGTAAAATTCCTGAGGTTGAAATCCCACTGCATCATTTGCTTTGGTAGTAACTTTGCCAAGTTCTGCATCACTGATGCTATCTGTCTGTGTCAGCAAGGAAAAGATTATGAATTCACATTTCAAGTGTGAGATTATCTTAAAAAGAAAAACAAAAAAGATCTTCAAAAGCCTTCTGCAGGATTGCTAGGCATCAACTAATTCTGCTGCAGAGAAATTGAGGCGGTGCTGCCTCCCTAGACTGCTGACTGCAGAAGCGATTTCTCCAACACATCCAGTCTCCTCTTGCAAAAGAGTATCTTGGTCAAAAGAGCTCACAGTCTCTCAGCAGTGTCCATTATGTTGACTTAGAAAGTCTTGGAGAGAAATCCAGGAATGAATTTCTGTTCTTTATAAATCATGACCAGTCTATTCTCAAAACATCTTGGAGGAACTTTAGATAGGGCAGAGGGGAGGGAAGGGAGAGGAGGCAGTGGGGGGAGGAAGATAGTGGAATGAGATGGACATTATTACTCTATGTACGGATATGATTGCATGAATGGTATGACTCTATATCAAGCCCAATCAGAAAAATGAAAAGTGGTGCTCCATTTGTGTAAAAAAAAAAAATCTTTCAAGGGTGTGACTCAAAACCATGGCCATGAGCTCTCAGAAGATAACCTTGAGCTAAACCAGATACAGGCTCCCCTCACGCTGCACCCCTCCTCCTGAGAACTTACCATACAGAGATGGAGACAGATAATAATCTAACACTTACCCAAATAAATGTAAAAGTACAATTATGGAAAGGATAATAGTCAAAAGTATATTATATTATGACATCATATAATAAAGGGTCTGGTTTGACCTGAGAGGTTGTTATAAGTTTCCCTGGAAAATGATGTGAGTTAACATCTGAGAGGGTGGTGAGACGGAGGTAAGGGGGGACGGAAATGGGCCTCCGATTGCTGATCTTCTAGGCCTGCCATGTGTTAA